GGCGGGCCGTCCCGTTACGCACCCGAGGCCCGCGGTACTGCCTACCTCACGGCGGCCGCAGCGCCCCTGGCGGGCGGGCCGTCCCGTTACGCACCTGAGGCCCGCGGGGCGGCGTGCCCAGCAGCTGGCAGGCGCGCTACTCAAGAACCCGTCCGCATCGCGGTCGGTGCGCGTAATTGTGTGACGTTAGCCAATTCGTTTTGAGAGTCCAATAATCCTGTCATCGGATACCGTCACCATCACAGTAAAGCCTCTTCTTAGGCAAACCCTTCGTGCCCTTCGTTCTCGACTCGCAAGGCCCTTTTAAAATTGAATGATTTCTCTTTGTTCGCACGACAATGGCACCGCAGTGTTCCCAACACTGGCTCTCACTCTCGCCGCCCTCGCCGCCTCTGTCCGCCTCCCCCTCGAGGCTTCCTCGGGGACATGATGGCCTCCTCGAGGGCTGCAGCAGTCGCTCCCTCCCGCGCGCCCCAAGTGACGCTGCCCGGCCCGACTGCAGCCACGGCCGTCGATCCGTCGCTTTTCTGAGTACCGCGTGACCGAGGTGGGACTGAGTCACGAATACTGGGCCGAGGCCTGGGGTTGGTTTGGACAAATGTCGGCGCCCTGCTAGTTTGTCTGGAAGACCGCATTTCGTGACTCGCCCTGACAGGGGACTCACCCGGGGCAGACAGTGTCCTCCCCGCCGTCGACATGCAGGCATGGGCTGGTGGCGGCGCGCCCGGGGCGCTGCGTCCCAGGGCATGGCGAGCTGCGCGCGCTGGGGGCGGCGCTGGGGCCGCCGGCTGCTGTGGGGGCGGCGACGGCCCCCTGCCGCGCCTGACGCCGCAGCCGGTCCCGGGGCGCCGCCTGCGCCGTTCCCCGCACCGCCTCCGCTCGCCGCCATGAACGCGCACCTCGGCCAGTCCGCGGACAGGCAGGTGCCCGTCGTCCTCGCCGCCGTCGCCCTGGAGCGGAGGCCACTACCACGTCAGTCCTGCCGAATCAAACATTTATTTTCAATAGTCGTAAAATTAATGCGAAATGAGAAAATAATAAAAACTGACCTAGCGTGGTCCGGGTGGTCCGTTTGGGGTCCTCCAGAGTCCCCCGCTCAGCTGCTGGAACCCCGGGCCAACCCCGCGCTCTCCGCCGGCTCCGTGCTGCCCGTCAGGCCCATGCGGCCCCACGCCGTCGCCAGGACGCCGTCGCCGCGGCTGGCCAGGAGCCTGGCGCGCGCGCTCCTGCAGATGGGGGCCTCGCCCTCCGGGGAGACGGAGCCCTGACACGGCCGGTACCGCAAACAGCTAAAAATAAAACCTGGGAGGGAAAATAATGGAAAGTGACAAAGTATGGAGCGGCATTCTCTCATTCCTTTTATTTATTTCTTTGCGAGTAGCTAAGGATCAATACAAAAGACACAATTCTTAATAAATCAAGAGAAACATCCAAGTAATGTGATGGCCTAATTGCCTTATTTACAAAGGAGAAAGAAATTTTTCGGGTGGTGCATAAAGAAGCACAGCAGAAATATCACAACTCTTGCTAGATCAAAATGAGATCCCTAGCAGACATGAGAGAAATTAGGTAGAGTAAACTTATTCTAGGAATGAATAGCACCACGTCTAAAACAGATCACATAAAACCAATGTCTATACTAGAAGCTAAAAAAGGGATACATTCAGAGAATAAACAAATTTAACAGGAGGGAAAGTAAGTTTTTGATTTTCTTAGTTACATTTTTTGTTTTCTATCGTGGTTTCATTAGACATGCTTTTAAATCGTGTACTATACCTAATGGTGTATTGTCATTCATCCTTTAACCATTACATGTAAATGATAAAAAACTATTAACTTTTTATAAGAATTACTGACAAGACAATAACAAAATAATGTTACATTATATTTGTCTAGATTCAAAATCTAGTAAGCATTGGCGAAGTAAATTAGTCCTATAAAATCGGTTTAATAAATAGTTCCTCAGTACCATTCTTCAAATATTCCAAAGTACTGAAGAGTGAAGCAGAATACTGCACCATCACCACACAACTACAGTATAACTCTTTAACAAAATAAAAGTGCATAGCAGTAGTTGATTCACATTTTCCGATGCAGCACTTTTGAAAATAAATAAAGATCCTTTGCTTTAGAAGCATTTCTTGGAATTCATTACATTGGTTTAACAACCTATTTGGTAATGCAAGGAAGGACCCCATCACAGTTGAGTTTTAAAGGATTTCTAGATCACAATGTCTGATTTCTGGATGTTTAGTCTAAAAAAAGTAATTAATAAACATGAAAATTAAAATTGAGGCCAAATATTTACAGGCACAAGTGATTTGTTGTTGTTTTAAAGTAAAACAGCTACTTACCCTAAGTTTAAGTTCAATGCGATCTATCTCACCACCCATCAAATCTACAATATTTTCTCCATGCTTCACCATAAAGCTTTCAAGTTCGTCAATATCTTTGAAAGTTTTAACTTCCTGTGTAAAGGGAAAAAAATAAATTTAGTATTCTGCGGAAACAGAAGTTTCAACCATAGTGCTTTTAATTTCTTGCGTACATTAAGCATCAACTGCAAGTCTTGTTTGTCGAGATATGAACGAGTTAGTTCTCTTCCATCAAAATCAATTTCAGCCTTGTATCGTACAAGAAAGTTACCCATATCAATACCCTTGACATCATGGATTGCTCGCACCATCACATCTGATTCTAACTCAGAATTGATCCTTTCAAGTTGATCGTATGGAATAGACCTATAGAGAACAAAAAATGTATTTTGTAAAGCAAGAAGTAAAAACATCTAAGATTTTTTTAATATTAAGCAACAAACAGTACACACCGCCCAACTAATCCAGCAACATTTGTATAAATAATGAAAGATGCAACTCCTCCAAGCAGCCCACCAACAAGTAGGGAGCCCACAGCATCAGGAATGTGGCTACCATAATAATGAGTAAGACCCATGCAAGTGGAGCAGACTGCAACACCCATCACCGCAGCTAGGTCCTCTAGCAACACTACATTAACACTGGGGTCTCTGCTAGCCAGTACTGTAATAAAAAAAATATAATTTAAAAAAAAAAATCCAGATTAAAAAAAAAATACTTTGTTGATTTTCTGAATAAAACAAAACAAGAAATACATACTATATTTGGTGAAAGTCATGTTATGCCGTGCAGCTCCTTGGCGAATTGCATTGATAGCCATAATTAAAGTGGCACCTTCAGACAACAGTGAGCCTCCTAAGATAAAAAATGCCTGTGAATAGAAAGTTCAAAAAACGAATGTTTCAGACGAACAATCACTATAAATCATACACAAATAACTAAGATCAAGTGTATTAGGTACTAACCCAGTAAAAGTCTGCTAGGGGAGCAGGGTCAATAAGGCCTAAAACACCATGATAAAATGATAAGCCTGTTCCAACACAGAAAATACCAACACCTGATATTAAGGATGCAACATAGCGCATGTTGCTGTATCCATACGGGTGCTCAACATCAGCTCTCTGTAAAGGTTGACAGAAGCACTTAAGGGAATGGATTGATTGAATAAAGTGTATGGATGTATAACAAAAATGATCTCACATACTTGGGTTGATTTGTAGATACCATAGGCAAGGATAAGTTGGTTAATTGTATCAGCTAAAGAGTGTACAGTTTCAGCAAACATACTGTGTGACCCAGTGTACAGCCATGCAGCAAGTTTAAATAAAAAGTTGCATCCATTTCTGAAAGTAGAAATAAAACTGTAATTTATAGTAGAAGAAAAATTATTTGCTTTGATGATAAACTGTTTTGCAAAATGACTCACATGACAACTGCTGTGAGAACAACTCTTCCAGAAGGTCCAAATAGACCTGATTCCTTGGCAAACTCTTCATCACGTGAATGTACACGCTCTTGCAGTTTGAGATAATCCCGAAGTTGTCGCTTGACAGCGTACATATCTGCAAAATAGGATGTTTAGGATGATGATTCAATTGCTGCTTAGTTTCCCCTCTATTGATACTGACTTTGTTGGTAGCTTCTGTGTTCCATTTCTCGTCTCACAATTTCATTCAATAGCTGCTCCTTTGACCCCCAAACTTCATTAGCTCTTAGGGATAAAAACATAAACCTGATTAAAATCACTCCGACAAAGAAATTGTCAAAATCATTCTTTTTTACCAACCTTGACTCAACGTCTTTCCTCCAATAGACTGTGATTGGTGGTTCATTTTCAATAGGTGATCTTCGTTTTGTCTTTCTTAGTCCTTCAAGGTCTGTTGGCTTAAGAAGAAAATCTGACATAGCTCGTACTGGAGTGATAAAATTCCTTTCCAAAGATGTTTTAGTAAGATCAACTCGCATTCGTTTCGCCTTTGCAGCTGAGAAGAGTAGCAAAATTGTTAATAGGGATACAAATTTGTCAGTTTATTAAGTATTTCAATGCTAGGTGGAACTAAAAACCTTTTGCATCTTTGCTTCCCAGTTTTTCCACATCAGAGGGCAGAGACTCAATAGCGGGTGCAGTTATGAGAATTGGTTCACTGATGATTGCTTGTTTAATAACTAATTCATCTTTCTCAATGCTTTCAGTGTTGGTTTGCTTACTCTTTTTCTTAAGACCTTCAGTCTTTTGCTTATCAGTACTTGATAGAAGTTGAGACCACGTAATAGTCCTCTTGTGAATGACTATGTCTTGGACAATATGATTCTTTTTTGGAGTGTGTGACCCAGACAGATGTCTCCTGAAACAGTCTGAACGCAGAAGAAACATTGTTAAACAACAAACTGCACAATATTTGCAACAGGTTAAGGTGAATATTGTTATGCTGGATTTAGTCTCGTTAGGCGAGCCCCGTAATTCTGTCCTCACCTCAGCTGAGGCACAGGCCACATAGATTTTGAGGGCTCTGATTGGCTAGCCAATCACAGTCTTCAAAATCTTTACTGAGGTGAAGACAGAGTTACGGGCCTCGCCTCACAAGACTAAATCCAGCATTAACTTACAAGGTCCAACAACAAGTCCAAGGTCTTCCACCGCTTTCCATTGCTGTCGTGATGCATTTTTACTCAAAAAGGTAAATAAATGTCCAGGCCGGAGCAACATTTTCAAGTCTAGCCTCTCCAACTGCAATAATCATTTACCTGTACAGTTAAGACCAAACTTAAACATTGAAATTCATCTAATGTAAACTACCACACAAAAGGTAACATTTAATAATTCAGAGCTAGGACTACATAATTCAATACTAACATAACAATCCAGGAAATTAGTCTAAATTCATGACAAGATATACTGTAACTAGCTACTGACCTCAGCGTAATGTCTTTCATAGCTTTACAGTTATTTCATTTAATGTTTAACGCAATTAATCCACAGTTGTTTGAGTATAACAAGGGCAATCTGTAAAAAAATATGATCTGTGTGTAATGTCAATTCTCTGGTTCAGGCTAATGGGTTAAAGAGAGAAGCTTCTGAGGAGAGTACATTGATTTTAGTATTTTGGTGTGAGTTAAAAGATACTTTAAACATCAGTAAAAATCTATTTCTAGGACTTCCTTTAGTAAAAGAACCACAGTAAAGTGTTCAATAGAAAAGGTCATTAGTTAATAAGACTTTTTCAGCTATAATTAACCTTGAAATCCTTGCAGACAAACATTAAACCCCGAACAAACTCTCATTATTATTTTGGTTATTTATTCACGTTCGTTGTAAGAATCCTTAACCAATCACGTAGCGACATAGGTGAAGATATTTTCCCTCTGATTTAAACAAGCACATTAACAATCATCTAAAATAGGAAAATAAGATTTACTTTTCTCTGAAGAAAGTGAAATTAAGTCATGTCCAAGCAGAGTGTACGTTTTCAACATCACATCGACAACAGATGCGAAGCGAACCTCTAGACTCTAGAAGCACGCACGTGTTAATTTTTCTTATTTGTATAGCGATCACTGCGGTAGTCTCGCAAAAGGTATATCGAATGTAAACTCAAATATAGATGGTTTGCGTGTCGTGTTGAGCTTACGGCGTCATCCGCCAGAGCGCGCCACGGAAGAAAGATGCCGAAGCCGAAAGCCAGACGAGCTTTCAGTAGGTGGCTGTGGACCAAGGCAGACGTACGCGGTGTGGGAACAGATTGCTTGTGTTGTGACGGCTGGAAGACTTGTTTTGGTGGTGAAAAGAGTGAAATCTCAAAACTTTGCTGGAAACGACTCAAAACATGAAGATTTTAAGGTGCATCAGACGTGCCCATTATGGCGTCGAGACGTTAGTTGTGCGGTGATGGTTGTAGGTGGATGCTTTGAGTGTCGAGTCGTGAAGGAATGTGGAAGTGGGACAAATGTTTGTGTGAATTTGCCACCTGAGTCCTGGAAGGAATAATGCAGTCGAGAAGGTTCGACATGTCTTATGGATACCTAATTTTTCTGCTGTGGCGGGTAAGTTAACATTTTCATTTGTTATATGACTCTGTCTACATTGCATCCAACAGGTTGCTTACCTACATTTGATAACTTGGATTACTATGTACTGTGGTATTGATTAATTTGCTGTGCATTCATCATGGTAAATTTTGAGTAAACTATCTCCTATTAACACCAAGTGCCTTGTATATTAAGCCATTATTTTCACCATTTTATTTAAGTTTACATGCTAAAAAATATTTTGGCTGTGGCCACCTGTTGCAAACTCCAGCAACTCTTTTTGCGTTCAACAGGTGTTTGTTTAACATTATGGCTTATCAATTGCTAATTCATATAGTTGTTATCCTTTATTGCTTATAGTATTAGTGTGAACATTTTTACATTTCTCTCTAACACAGCTTGTCAAAGTCAGACCCCATCCGTTTTATCTGTTTTTCAGGCGCTATGTTATCTATTCAGGTTAGGTAGATATTATTTGTTGCATTCTGTGGTTGCGAAGCTTAGAGGTTGAGGTCAGACATATTTCTTCTCCTATTTTGGTGGTATTATTTGATTTTTTTTTTCAGACATTGTGAGAGAAATTCATAAAACGCTAATAAGTCACAATGACGTGACTACAGAGATACCTGTCAGACATCAAATCAGGTGCTCTTGCGGTGCCCTGTCACATTCCTCTTACTCACTGCAGTTGTCAACCTCTTCATTAGGACATGTCAAAACTAATTTCTCCTGAAGCCCCATGACAGCCCAGTCTCTGCCTTTGATTGAATCTTACTTTCAGAAAAGGCAGTAGGTTGGGTCATGGGAGACAAGACAATTTTTTTTATCATCCTCATCAGAGAAATTTTCTCCACTTGGCAACACTGTCTTAAGACCGGTTTGGTTTGGCGAACGGGCCTCTAACATGGTCGCAAACGCTGTCCGAAGGGAGAGGGGGGGGGCGAGGATAATCCAGTCCGGATCAGGGAGCAGTGTCATTGGATTAGGGAGGAGAGTGCATCGGATTGCTGACAGGGTAGGCGCATGGCCATTGTGTTTGGTGAACCAGCGCGGCCACTGCCGGCGGCAGCGGCGGGCACCGGCCAGCCCAACAAGCACAGCACACCCGCCTCGATCAAAATCTCGACAGGAAACGGGGCGCTTTTGCGCGCAGTGTAGCCCGGCTCGGCGTCGCCGCACCCCGCGGGGGCTCGACTGCCGTGCACTGCCGTGCGCTGCCGTGCGCCGCGCGGCGCCGCGCCCCCGGGCGTGCGAGTGAGTGCGAGCGAGAGGGGCGGCGCGGCCGAGACGGGGGAGGGATAGAGACGGGCGCGGAGGAGGCGGTGCGGTACGGGACGGGACGGGCGCGGCTCACTTTCGCTGCCGCTGGAGCTGCCGGAGCCGACCATACCGACATCAAGCTATGCCACTTCAGTACCTACTCCTACCGCTGGGGGCGTGGCGGGGCGGGGCGGGGTGGTTGACAGACTCATGCGCAACATCGTCGCCGGCGCCCCGCCGCACAAAAGGCGTTCCCCGTGGATGCGGGTCGGGTCGGGGCGTTCCACTTGCGCCTGCTTATGCGTTGCGCCGCCGGAGTTCGATACACTCTTCCTCCTCAGGGCGATGAAGGCTCTCACGCCGCCCGACCAGGATGTACGGCGCGGCCGCGGGCGCGCCATGCACGCCATCCCCGAGACACATGTCGGTCCCGGATGGGCGCCGCCGCCGCCGGGGCCTTGGCGGCGTCCGCGCCGCCCAGTGCACCTCCGTGTGGCGGCCGTGTCCGCTGGGGTCACTTCAACGGCGTCCTGGACCGTGGCACGCAGAGAGAGAGAAATCGTCACCGGGTCGGCGCGGACCTACACATTAGCGCGGCGTTACGCCCTTCACGCCTTGGTGTGTGTGCGTGACCCCTGTGCTCAGGACCTTAAAGGGCCTCTTAAGGACCCCGTCATTAAGGCCTTCGTTAAGCTCCGCGTCACAGCGGTGGGCGGGTGTGAGCTGGGCAGCCTCGAACTCTGCATGGCTCTGCAGCGGGGGGCGGCCTCTGGCCCGGCGGATGCGACACGTGTCTGCCTCTCTCTCTCCCTCTCCTATCTGCGCGCCCGCCCTCCCCCGCACATGCGCTGCAACCCCGCAGCGACCGTCCCGGGGCCGACCCACGGACCCACGGGCGGAAGCTCTGCAGTGTGGGAAAGTGAATAATATGCCCTGTGACACTGCACCCTGCATGCAGCAGAGACGAAGCATTCGGAGCAGAGGAAGAGAGAGGAGGGGACACACCAGGTGGTTGAGCAACCCCGCGCACTTCTGTAGTTATGCGGCAGACGGGGAGGCTTGCTTGTCGCTCACTGCTTACGGGCCGGGCGAGTAGGCAACCCGCCCGCACTCGTGCGTGCGATACAGCATAACTACAGGAGCGAGCGGGGCCAGTCAGCTACACCTGGACCTGGCACAGGGTGGCCCTCGGGCCCCAGAGCACAATTTAGCTATTTAGCTACTTGTATACTTTACCGCTTGTATGCTTGTGGGGGCGTTGCCTACCGGCGAGGGGCCGTAAGGCGCCGTGGTGAGAGAGGCTGTCAGACAAGGCCGGTCGCACCGCACGGGTGCATGCGTCTTCAACTTCAAACAGGGTTATCATCACGACTGCATGCGGCACAGTGTATGTATACGAAATATTCCGGGCTCTGTGGGCGATCACTCCACGCGGAAAGCTCCCCCGGCGTTGAGCCGGGCACGTTTTTGGATACCGCTCCTACACCGCGATAAAAAGTGCCTACTGGCTGCAATCTTGCAATTCATTGAAAACAATGTAAATAGTTTGCTTCCCTTTTTTGCGGTGTCGGGCGCAGGTTCGTCGCCATGGTCTGGTCGGGCCCGACTCTTCCCTCTGATATAGGATTACCGCTGTGCTCGGCGGGCCGGGGCGCGCGGGCCTATTGTCTGGCAGGCGCCATCGCAGCGCTTCAAAGTAAAAGGGGGAAAAAACCACGAGTATTAATATTTAATTTGCTTTTTAAATTGTTTTCCTTCTTCTTTGAAGCAGTGTCGGGAGTGCAGCGTACCCATATACCTACTGGCCGATGGTTTGGTGTATGTGTATATTTGTTTGGGACGCATCGCTGCTCAGTCTCAGAGGTGCTGCCGCTACCCCTCTCCTCTCCCTTCACCTGCCCCCCCCCCCCTTTCGACCACCACCGGAGCTGCAGCAGTACGCCCCGGCTAAGTAAGGGGGGAAGGCGGCTATTTCGGCCCCAGAGGGGCGTGGCGGGGGGCTCGTGGGGGAGGGGGGGGGGTGCCGCCCCCTCCCTCCGGTCCACCCTACCCCGTTCGTGAGATAATATTGGCTGTCTGCATCTCCGGCAGTTAGGGGCCTAACTGCAGCTGCAAGCCGCGTGTGTAGCTCTCTACAAATTTGGACGTGGTCTCGCGCGCGCGTCTAGGGTACACTGCCGAACATGGCGTTCAACTTATGCAAAAAGAAATAATCCTATAACTGTGCATGCTAATGTGTCCATTGCGTAACCCGGCGCAGCGGTGAGCGCGTATTATTGCCTTTGCTAGGCAGGTTTTTATTTTTATGGCTTCTTTTTTTTATTTATTTTTTTCGAGTCGCATCAGCCGAGATGGCGCCGTGCCACGATGAGGTGGTGCCTCCTTCCGCGTCGCGTCCCGGTGGCAAATTAATAATAAGACCTGCTGCTGGGCCGGGGACCGCGGCGGGGCTATGTGCTGTACTCCAACACGCTCTTCAGTCGCTCTTCCATTGAAATCACCAGAGAAGCGTTTTGGGGAAATGAGCATGACGTTTGGCCAGCTTAGCAGGATAGCTTAAGCTATCCTCTCTAGCTGGAGCGCTTTTGCACTGGAAACGCAAGTGTGTGAATGTCGCTCACTTCTTGTATGTGTGTAATGCCCATTCGGTACACTGAAAGGGAGTAAATGTGTGAATTTTCATTTGAAATGCACACACTTGTGCCTTCGTGGGTACGAATGGTGCTCGCAGCTCGCACACCGACAAGTGTGCGACATTCACACACTTGCGTTTCCAGTGCGCTCTCGCTGCTCCACGCCGCCGTTGGCCGGCTGCGTGGGGCCCCAGCGGCGGGCCCGACCCGAGCCTCTTGCCGGGGCCCTCCGCGGGGCTGTGGAAAGTAAAGTGTGCCCCCGATCTGCGGCGAGCGTGGCGGGACCAGCCGGCCGGGGCGGGGACGTGGAGTCTCTCTCTCTTGCACCCGCACGCGGCCGCGGCCCTGCTAATGGGTGCGACGAGGATGAATGAGCTCCGGGCCGACGCGACGTGCGTTCGAAAACTTGAGTGTCTTTCTTTCATTTGGTCGCTTGTTGTTTTCTCCCCATCCTCGTTGCACACATGTGGCGGCTGGAGAGAGAGAGAGAGAAGGGGGGGGGGAGAAAGGAAGAGCCGCTCCTCACCTGCCCCCCCCCCCCTCCCATAATTACGTTCAGCGGTCGGTCAGTTTTCCCGACAAGAATTCAGACTGCGTTTGTTCGGCTTGCTGCTCCCGGCACTGCTGAAAAGTAATTGAAAAGGGGCGTTTTGTTAATCAGATGTCGCATACAACCATTTCGTTGAAACAGCCCAGGGCGGGGAGAAACAAAATTGAATTTCCAAAACCGTCTTTACGTATAGTGGGACCAATCAATGCTAAATTAACTACACAATTTTATCATTACTAAAAAGAAAATGGTTTACTGAAAATTTACAAAATTGTTTGAGTTATTTGTCTCCCTCGACTAGCCTTCCTTTTGCGGTTTCTTTGCTGGTTTTGAGACTCATTTTTCTTACTGTGATGAAGGTACGGCAAGTGTGTTATTAGTGTGTGAGTGAGCAGCTCTAGTCCTTGTTAGTGGGACTCGTCTCTCTTCGCTCTCGTTTTCAAACAGAACTCATCATTCGGATTTTTCTGGAGAAATTAGCGCTTTCTTGTCTCCTTTTCGCTCCAGCGGCCAGGCGGCGTAGGCAGGCGGGTTATGGAGGGAGGGAGGCGGAGACGGCGGAGACAGACGCA